TGTTTTACTTGCAGTTTGTGTTTATAGCTTTGATTGCATATGTTGCTCTTACTCACCACTTGCTCTGTTACATTACAGTATGTAAACTATTCAAGAGATTAAGATTATTTCTTCTGTTTTACCCCAGAATAACAAACTAACTGAAATTTTCACTCATCAATGGCTAAAAAAGAAATATTTGCTATTGGTTCTGTTAAATCTTTTACAGAATTATCTATCTTTTAAGATGATTCTAATCGTCTAAGATTTTTAGCTTAAAAAAAAGTATGGAACTTAATGAACTCTTACAGTGTGTGCGCACATATGGAATTTTTTCTGGGGAAGACACTAAATATGGAATTGTAGTGGAAGTAAGCATGTGTGTTTACTTAAAGTACAAACACAACAGAAAAATGGTGGTTAGCGCTTAACACCAAAGAATAGGCAACTACCCCCAGTACCCAAGATCACTAAATGGCACTCAGATTTAAAGTGAAAGAAAAGAGTATAAGGGGTGCAAAGAAAATATACAATATTTTGCTGTATACTTAGTATAGTGAGTGGAACACCTCCTGATCTTCCTACAATAGAAACATATACATAGTATAATACTGTTACACAAGGAAAAAACGATCAATTTGAAGGTATTGGGTCACTCCAGGTCTTTATCAAAGTGTGTGATGAATGCTGGTCTTCTTTTCTTTAAATAGTATATCAGGTGTCCAGTTTGGCGCCGTTTACCGGCGTCAGTCATCACTTGCGGATCTGCCGAACTTCCACGTCACGTGATTCTGTGAGAATCACAGCTGTGAGATAAAGTGGAAATTTAATTTGGACACTTTGACTCAACATCGACTTCGAGATGTCAGCACTTATTTAACCTCTTGCTCCTTATTTTTATTAGTATATATATATATATATATATATATATATATATATATCTTTTTATTTTTGGATTTCCATTTTTTATAAGAGAATTTTCACCACACACTTTAAAAAGGCCTGGAGGTCGGAACGTGTTAGTGTTGTGGACTTTTCATTTTATGTTAATTTAAGCTTATTTCTGTTTACTGTGTTATTTTATATCCAGCAAAGTTTATATTTGTTTTCAATATATTGAATATACTGGAAGTTATTGAAGGGCTGAAAAGGAGCTATCCTGTCTAGGAATTCGAAAGCCAGAATAAGCTTATTATTTATCTGCCATTGAAGTCAGAGCCAGCTTCATGTGGCTCTGCATATTGTGAGTGACCCAATACCTTCAAATTGATCATTTTTTCCTTGTGTAACAGTATTATACTATGTATATGTTTCTATTGTAGGAAGATCAGGAGGTGTTCCACTCACTATACTAAGTATACAGCAAAATATTGTATATTTTCTTTGCACCCCCCATACTCTTTTCTTTCACTTTATGTGTGTTTACTTGACTCCTGGGTTCTTTTTACTCCAGTAAACAATGCAATGCCATTTACTATACTGGAGTAGAAGGAACCGTCACTTCTCTGGAAGTCAGAGAGAGTGTGTGTGAGAGAGAGAGAGAGAGAGAGAGAGACTGATTCATCTGAGTACATTTTGAGTGTATTAAATTGTTAGAAAGCCAATAATTTTGGTATGAATAGTATTTTAACAATTAATTGAACATCATATAATCCTAGAGTTGAAAAGTGTGTAATATCTCTGAGCAGGGAAGAGTTTTGTGGAGAGAAAGCAACATGTTCTCCCATCGACCCAGTCAGCAGTACCACTCTTCCACGATGAAAATGGACTGACACACATGAAAATACATTCGCACATACTTTTTAAAGGATGTCTTAGGTACCTTTTACATTGACACAAACATCAAGTGTAGGAATAGACCAACATTGTGACTTACATAAATATTAAAAGAATCAGAGTAAAGAAGGGCAGGGGTAACACCCAAATAGTCCCTGCACCATAATGTCTGCAAAAAGATGTAGTGGTTATGATGCCTACCTTTTAATTCCTGAGCTACTTTGTCCAAAATGTATGTACCATAATTGAGCCACAGTTTGGCTCTATTACAGATAAAATCAGTTTGTCTGTTAAACCAATATAGTGAATTTCAGCTACACTGAATGAACAAAATTTATCAGGCTTTTTTGTATTGCAGCAGCAACAATTCAGTCTTTAATGCACCTTAGAATGTAGACAACTATAACATGTGGTACACGTTTTCAATACCTGTTTGGATATATTTGCAGGTGTAAACTGATTTAAGATAGGCAGCAATCCAGACGAATCAGCTGCTGAAGTGGAATCCATTTGATATTCCATGAATATTGTTATTGGTGTAAGTTTGTCCCTAAATTCAGACTCATCCTAGAAATGTAAAAACGGCAAGATTAAAACAGAAACAGCCCACAAGCATTAAGCATTAAGGCAAAAAGGATTTCAGAAGACTCAGATTCGAGGGATTACCCTCGCTAGACACAGGTCTACGTTGGAGAGAATTGCCTCGAACATAGACCAGCTCTCTAGCGCGTGAATCCCTTGAGTATATGTACAAGGGAATTCCGCAGACTCAGATTCGGGTGATTCCCAGCACTGGAGAGCTGGTCATATGTCCGAGCAGTCGTTAAGCAGGTAGGTCGTTAAGTGAGGATTAAATGTAATAAATACATGTAAGCCTAATGCATTTATTTCTTGGAGGATTTGTTCAGCATGGATGCTTATGACACCATCCAAAATTGTATAATTAATAAACATTCTCTTAAGAAATATTTGTTTAGCAGGAATTAACTAAAATATCGCAGTCATTTCCAGGTTCAAGTAAAGTTTATAGAAGAGTCATGGAAAACATTGGAATCCACCTTATCATATTACATGCATACATACAGATTGGTTAAATTAGTAATAATAATAAAAAATTAAAAAAATTTAATGTATTAAGAGTGTGTCCTCTTTTCATCGTACAAAAAGTGCAGATTACAATAGAAAATGTCCCTTGTATTAATTAACTTTGTTATCCCCCCCACCGTCAACCCTGGCTTTCAAGCAGAAAGCAGGTTTTGTTACTTCCTGGTTGTTTAGCTCAGTGGAGCTAAACTCAAGAGGCAGGAAATTATTCCCCCCACCCCACCACCACACACATACACACAGACACATACATAGAGACACTGTTGGGATCATTTTACACTGCTGGGCAAAGCGTACCATGCACCTCACTTTTGGACCGAACCTTCAGGGAGAGCCTTTCAGTGATACACAGACGTATTTCAAATTGGGCTACTACCAGTGTATTACGGGTCAGGCAAACATATTTATAGACAAAAGTTACAGCAAAAGTAACATGACAAGATTACATCAGCTAAACACAATATTGCTTATTCAGCAACCAACAACATGTATTTCTGTAACCAGAGGTTAAAAGGTTATTTCTTTGATGATCTGCAACAGGTTTTACTTTTTAGCTGACAGTTAACAATTGTTATTTCTAATAATATAATCTTGTCCATTTACAGTAGTCACGTACCTAATTTTTAACCCTTTCAGACACACACACATACAAGACACATACACACAGACAGACACAGACACATAGACAAAAACAGACACACAGACAGACACAAACAAGACACATTCATACAAATACACACACATACATACAGACAGGCGCACACACACACACATATGTACGTACGTACAGACAGACATACACATGACTTCCCCTGGGGTCCAGTGGTGACTCAGGTTGATGGGAGTCAGAGTTCCCACTCTGACTCCCTCTCCTTCCTCCCGTGCGGCTCTCTGATAGCTGAGAGGAGTGACCGGTGCAGTCACTTTCTCCTAGCAGTGATCTCATCACAGGGGGCCCAGTCGAGCTGTTAAAGAGTCCGCAGAACTGACCGGCCCCCTGGAATTCCATACCCATTGGGTGGCCCTAACAGCATGAGCCACCTGATGGGCCCCCTGAACATGCGGCTTGGCGGTTTGCTGCGCGGGCCGGGGCCACAAAACATGGCGGCTGGTACCCGGTCGCAGGGCAGCTGCGACTCCTATATGTATGCCACTGCTTGCAAATACTTTTCACTAAGCTGCATTGTAAAGTCTGTGATTGGACAAACACAAAGTCTGAGTTGGAGAAGACGGGGAGGGTCTGCAAGGAAGCAGACAAGAGAACAGCAGCTTTTTAGAGATCATAGAAATATAGAATGTGATGGCAGATAAGAACCATTCGGCCCATCTAGTCTGCCCAATTTTCTAAATACTTTCATTAGTCCCTGGCCTTATCTTATAGCTAGGATAACCATATAAAATAAATAAAGGAAAAGAGACAGCGCCAGACAACCAGTAAGGCAGCAACCCAACAAGGGAATCCCCCCAAAACCCTAAAATACAGGATAAAAGCAAAATATAAAAGGAGGGCTGCGCCAGAATAAACAGTGTCCAGTATCAATAGTTATTGAAGATAAAAGTCCGACCTAAAAAGGTATCCTCTCTGTCGTCTTTAGGTACAGGAACGCGATCTTCAGGTAATATATAAAAGATAAAAGGAGAGAACAAACGATGGTGCAGAATGTACGGTTCAAATGAAGTAAAAATTGATTAATGATAACGAACTCACAATTTCCAGAGCTTCTGTCCAGCTCTAGGGTAAAGCGCACACAGCGGTATAATCCCCGCTTATGGGATTTATGATGGGTTCGTCAGGGTATCCAAAACTCAAAGGAAACAGAAACAGCCAAATAGTGCTCTCTGTATAAGTGTATATTATAAAAGAGAATAAAAAAAACGTACTTACAAGTACAGAGCAGACCAACTGCTCTTTGATGTCAGCGCTGGTGGAATAATCCCCACCTATGGATTTCTTTGGTTGTCAGGAACTTGTAGAGATAGTATTAAAATCGGAATAGAGTGTATATAAAATATAACAATGAACTAAAACGATAAATAGCCAGGGTACATGTATAAATAAAAGTAGTTGGGACTATCAGTTAACCAAAAACTTTAATATTTATTATACAAAATTAAATTTCCATAACGCGTTTCGTCTAACAGACTTTATCAAATGGAATATAATACAAAACCTGGCAGGTTTTGTATTATATTCCATTTGATAAAGTCTGTTAGACGAAACGCGTTATGGAAATTTAATCTTTTATATATTACCTGAAGATCGCGTTCCTGTACCTAAAGACGACAGAGAGGATACCTTTTTAGGTCGGACTTTTTATCTTCAATAACTATTGATACTGGACACTGTTTATTCTGGCGCAGCCCTCCTTTTATATTTTGCTTTTAGGATAACCATATGCCTATCCCACGCATGCTTAAACTCCTTTACTGTGTTAACCTCTACCACTTCAGCTGGAAGCCTATTCCATGCATCCACTACCCTCTCATTAAAGTAATACTTCCGGATATTATTTTTAAACCTTTGCCCCTCTAATTTAAGACTATGTCCACTTGTTGTGGTAGTTTTTCTTCTTTTAAATATAGTCTCCTCCTTTACGGTATTGATTCTCCTTACATATTTAAAAGTCCTGTCTTTCATCCAAGCTATACATGTTAAGTTCCTTTAACCTTTCCTTGTAAGTTTTATCCTGCAATCCATGAACCAGTTTAGTAGCCCTTCTCTGAACTCTCTCTAAAGTATCAATATCCTTCTGGAGATACGATCTCCAGTACTGCGTACAATACTCTGAGTGAGGTCTCACCAGTGTTCTGTACAATGGCATGAGCACTTCCCTCTTTCTACTGCTAATACCTCTCCCTATACAACCATGCATTCTGCAAGCATTTCCTGCTGCTATATTACATTGTCTGCCTACCTTTAAGTCATCAGAAATAATCACCCCTAAATCCCTTTCCTCAGATATTGAGGTTAGGACACTATCAAATATTCTGTACTCTGCCCTTGGGTTTTTACGTCCAAGATGCATTATCTTGCACTTATCCACATTAAATGTCAGTTGCCACAACTCTGACCATTTTTCTAGTTTACCTAAATCATTTGCCATTTGGATAATCCCTCCTGGAACATCAACCCTGTTACATATCTTAGTATCATCAGCAAAAAGACATACCTTACCATCAAGACCTTCTGCAATATCACTAATAAAAATATTAAAGAGAATGAGTTCAAGTACAGATCCCTGAGATACCCCAATGGTGACAAGCCCATGCTTCGAATATACTCCATTGACTATAACCCTCTTTTGCCTATCACTCAGCCACTGCCTTACCCATTCAACAATATTGGAATCCAAACTTAAAGATTGCAGTTTATTGATAAGCCTTCTATGTGCAACAGTGTCAAAAGACTTACTGAAATCTAGGTAAGCAATGTCTACTGCACCATCCTGATCTATTATTATAGTAACCCAAGCAAAATAATCAATAAGATTACTTTGGCATGATCTCCCTAAAGTAAACCCATGTTGTCTCTGATCTTGAAATCCATGTGATTTTAGATGTTCATCAATCCTATCCTTTTACATGGTTTCCATTACTTTCCCCACTATTGAAGTAAGGTTTACTGGTCTGTAGTTGCCCGACTCCTCCCTACTACCTTTCTTGTGAATGGTAATTCCAATATTCTGGGACTACTCCTGCTAACAATGGTTGGTTAAATAAACCTGTTAATCTTTTTGCTAGGCAAGTGAGTAAGATAAATTGGTAAATTCCCTAAATACAAAGACTTTTCAAAAATGCAAGGTCACAGATTCAAACCCAGCCCTTCATCCCTCCAAGGTCGATAAAATGAGTACCATCCATTGGGTAATATTATTATTCAGCTGCCGATTTGGTTAATTCTGAGAGCGTGCTGAAAAGCTCTTTGAGTCCCATTGGGAGAAAGGTGCTATATAAATACTAGTTATTATTTTGCTAGTACACCACTAAGCTCTTGTAATAATTTTGGGTGTATTCCATCCCATTGACTTATTTGTCTTTTACTTTTGATAGTGAAAATAGAACCTCTTCCTCTGTAAACTTACATGTAATAAATGACTAATTTGTCCTTTTTCCTAACTGAGGTAGATTTCCTTCATTTTCATCTGTAAATACTGAACAAAAATATTAATTGAGGCAGTCAGCTAGACCTTTATCCTCTTCTACATACCTTCCTTTTCTTTCAAATCTAACTAATCCTTGTTTTACTTTCCTTTTCTCATTTATGTATCAAAAAATGTTTTGTCCCTTTTTTTTACTGACTGTGCCATTTTCTCTTCTGCTTTTACTGACTAGCCTAATACAATTTACTGTTACCTTCAGCAGTGCAACCTTTAAATAATCTCATTTCTCTTGGATTTATTTAAACTGCTCCAGTCTGATAATGACTCCTTTACACATATTCTAATTTTAGAAAAGTCTGCTTTTCTAAAGTTTAAAACTTTAGTTTTTGTGTGGTGTGACCGAGTCACGGTTCTTATAGTAAACCACACTGACTGATGATCACTGGATCCTAAACTTTCACCTACAGTAAAATATGATATCAAATCTCCATTTGTTCACACTAAATCTAGTATGACCTCTTTACGAGAACCATCAATGATTTGTTTTAGAGACAATCCCAAGAGGGAGTTTAAAATATGGCTGCCTTGAAGTAGCTGTACCCTAGGGTAGATAGGTCTGGGTAACATAGTTTTGCTCCAGCTTCATGTATAATTTATAAGAATATATACCTACACCTTAGCCGTGTTATTACTTTTCTCCCCCCTTCCTTCCCCGATACTGCCTTCACGCTCTGTCTGTTGGTGGAGTTACCCATTAGGACTATATAATTTTATTTATTTTTAAGCATTTTGTTTTACCCTTGCATATAACATCGAGTTAAGATAAATGCTCTAAATGAAGTAATACGTAAACCAAAAAATTGTGAGCTACTAGTACCTAGGGCATCCTAAGGGTTAAACTTTACCCATTCAGCACCAGTATCGGGTTTGGAGTTAACCTCAGGACTTTTCCTGTATAAACCACAGAATCTACCTCAGTATTGTGGGTATTGATCAACTGAAATAAATTCTATCAATACCCACAGTACTGAGGTAGATTTTTAATTTTTTTACAGAAAATTCCTGAGGACTTTTTTGTTTTTGATACATACCATATTATATTATCACTTTTCACTTTTTGTTTCACCTATTTTGTTTGTCAATTTATAATAAAGTTTATTACCTAAAAGATGATTTTTTTAATTTACAGGTACTTCCGGTGGGGTACAGCGCCTCCCTTTTTCTAGGGAGCCATCTGACCTCATTAGTTGAATTCTTTGCGGAGTTTAGAATATGTGTGCTCCTGGCACAAGCAGCTATTTTGGTTTTCCAGTTCACATCAGGAAGATTAAAGTTACCCATGATAATAACTTCCCCCTTCATTGTAATTTTAGCTATTTCCTCAACTAGCAGATTATCTAACTCTTCTATTTGCCATGTGGGCCTATAAACCACACCTACACAAGTTACTGTGTGATTGCCAAATTCTAACGTAACCCAAACGGACTCTATGTTCGCCTCACTAACTTTAATTAGGCTAGATTTTATGCTATCTTTCACATACAGGGCCACCCCTCCCCCTTTTTTGCCTTCCCTGTCTTTTCTATATAAAGAGTACCATGGTATTGCTATGTACCAGTCATTTTTCTTTTGATACCATGTCTCAATAACAGCAACTAATTCTACACTATCAGTTGCCATTACTGCCACAAGTTCATGGATCTTATTCCCTAAACTGCAAGCATTTGTAGACATGACTCTAAGCTTATCATTTTTTAACACACTTGCTACAGGCACCTTCTGTCCTTGTTTTGGCGGGGCAATTGTGTATTTAAATGCATGCATGTATAATGAAATGCATGCATGTTTTCGTTTAGTATATCTACTAAAAAGTTATTTATTGGAGATTTTTTTATTCTGTTATTTTGTCCTGAATTCAGTAATTAACTTTCAATTCACCTTAAATTCCTAGCAGTTCTCACTTTAGTGAATAATACTGTGTATGTTACTTCCTTAAAAGTAAGATAAATGGAAAAGAAAAATATATATTTTTGTACTTACCCGTAAATATGCTTTCAGTTCTTCACAACGCATGGATCCTCCATTTGTTATAGTCATATTCTTAGAATGGCTGGATTGCTTATTGTGAAGAAATAATGCTCTTCGTACAGCACCCTTCTGCTTCAGTTTATCTAGTAACAGTTCTACGTGGAATGCTAGAAATGTAGAATGTAAATATATTACACTAGGAAATATTGCAATAAAATAAACAAGCATGGTTACAGAAACACTTCAAGCACAATAAGCATTTCAGAACATTATTGTGGTTATGACGCCAAGTGTGCCAAATGTGTCCCTCCGTTTTCGAATGGTTTAACTTCTTACATGGATTCCACTGCAAAAAAAACCAAACACCAGCCACCCCAATGACCTAACTGAAATGAAATGGCACAGATGTTGGTTATGGGTATTAAATAAAATAATATTAATAGTACTTGTTACTGGCATAAGCGTCCCATAATGGCTACCTTTAATTTTCCATGGATTATGAAGAGTGATCAATATAAGCGTCTTCTCTCTGTGCCCTTTTATGACAATCTGTACAAAATATGGTCTTGGATTAAACACCCGTCAGCAATTTTTTCTGAAAACTGACCAGAACATCTTCATGAGATGAATCCCTCATTAAATTCAAGGGAAGATTGCTTTTAATAGTATTCCATCAAGGATGGCTCACTATAATTTTTTTTTTAATACATTTTGCAAATATACAACAGGTTATATACCAGGGCAATTCACAATTATGACGGAAAAGGTATCCATCTTGAACCACCAGGCTGCCCTGATTCTGTAGGCACAAATGGCAAAATGTTTAGAGACCCTTGATGAACAAAGGTTATTCTCTATTGGTTGACAAATATTTCACTGACATATATTTATTTAAAAATGTATTTTACGGGGGGCGTGGCTTCAACGCTGAGGAGAGAAGGCGCATGTCGGCTAAGCTCCCGTGGTGGGCATAATAAACAGCAAGTACTGGGGCACCTACCTACCCTAAACCAGTCCGGGACCGGGTCAAACAATACAGCTCACAATGGGGAAGAAGGCAAAAAAGCTAAAAACCCTTA